CAGCAGCATAGATGGGAATCACCTGCACTTCAGGCTCTGCCCCCAGTCACTCGTTGACTGAACTAGTGAGAGAAGCATCCAGAGCCTTTGGTGCACACATTTTGGAAGGCTTGATGGCCTGTTGGCCCCTGAGGGGTGAGTAGCTCCAAGGCTGGAGCGAGTGGCTGGGACAGAAACACACCTCTGATCGTGATCTCCTGGCAGGCTGGCACCAGAATGAGAGGGTGCTTTCAGTCCAGTGGCTGGTGCCCATGGGCTTGTTCCCTCCCACATGGAGAAGCACCCAGGGGCTACACCGCTGCATGTCCAAGTGGGCTCTAGGCTTGTTCTGGGAGGGCAGGCCCTTCCCGTTCACCAGGGCAACTTTGGAGGGTCACCATGTCCCCCACTGCCGCTGATGAGCCCACCGATAAGAGCCCATTGGCATGGAATGACCTGGACATCAGCAGCCGTGCCCAGGTTCAAATCAAGGCCCTACCACTAACCAGCTATCTTTTGGGCAAGCCACTCACCCTCTCTTTGCTGCACGTCATCAGTAGAAGGGAAGCAGTAATGACTGGTGCTGCTCGTGGGTTGTTGTGCAGACTCTGATATGCTGGTGTGGTCCTGGCATGTGTCAGGACTCACTCAGTGTAGGCTGCTCCCCAGAAGCTGTTGCCCAGGGTCCCTGCACCTAGCACAGAGCAGCACACAGGAGGTGCTCGGGACACATGTGGGGAATGAGCCAATCAAGCTTGGCCACTGTAGAGAGAGGGCCAAGTTAAATTGACCGTTTCCTTTGCCCTGCAGCCCCTTGTGTGCCACGATTGGGGTGGGGGACATGGCCATGCTGAAGCTTCTCTGACTCTGTGAACTGTTGAGGAGGGCTGTTCACAGCTGGTGGTGCTGAGCTATCATCACATACTGTAGTTCCTCCATTGACCGCATATAATCCAGCGGCTGTTAGTATATTCACAGGGCTGTGCAACGATTGCCATGGTCAATTTTAGAACATTTTCATCCCCCCAAAAGAAACTATGTGCTCCGTAGTCATCAGCCCTCCCCCGGGTGCCAGGGGGCCCTGGCACCACTAGCCTGTGTTCTGTGGTTGTGCTTACTCCAAATGTTTGGTATAAATGGACTCATACAAGAGATGGATGGAGAGTTGGGGGGCTTCTTTCTCTCGCTTGTGGGGACAGCTGAAAGGACTTTGGTACCTACTCCCAGCAACCCTATAGGATGGATACCGGTCCATTTTACAGAAAAGGAATATAGGTGAGTCTCTGAGCCTTATGATGGGTAAGCAGCAAAGCCAGAGATAAGCCAGCCCTGCTGCCACCCCCTTCTCCCCCCCGCCACTCCAGCTCCAGCGGGGAGGCTGGGCTGGTTTGGGAGCAGAATGAAGAGGCCATTCCTTGGGCAGCCGGGGTGGCTCAGCGGTTTAGCGCTGCCTTCAGCCCAGGACGTGATCCTGGAGCCCTGGGATCGAGTCCCATGTTGGGCTCCCTGCATGGAGCCAGCTTCACCCTCTGCCTGTGTCTCTGCCTCTCTCTTGCTCTGTGTCTCTCGTGAATAAATAAATCTTAAAAAAAAAAAAAAAGGCCATTCCAGGAAGGGCCATGCAGTGTGATGGGGGTCCCAAGGCAGGCCAGCCCAATCCAGAAGGCAGGTGGTGCTAGCCAGTGTCTATCTAGGCATCTCCCAGAGCTGTCAAGGGTTTTTTTGCTTATTTTTTTTTAAGATTTTTATTCTCTCATGAGAGACACAGAGAGGCAGACACATAGGCAGAGGGAGAAGCAGGCTCCTCCCAGGGAGCCCAATATGGGATTTGGTCCCAGGACCCTGGGATCAGGACCTGAGCCAAAGGCGGATGCTCAACCACTGAGCCACCCAGGTGCCCCTTTTTTCTTTTTTTTTTTTTTAAGATTTTTTTTTAATTTTTATTTTTATGATAGTCACAGAGAGAGAGAGACAGAGAGAGAGGCAGAGACATAGGCAGAGGGAGAAGCAGGCTCCATGCACCGGGAGCCCGACGTGGGATTTGATCCCGGGTCTCCAGGTTCACGCCCTGGGCCAAAGGCAGGCGGTAAACCGCTGCGCCACCCAGGGATCCCTAAGATTTATTTTATTTACTGAGAGCGCGAGAACATGAGCCGGGGGAAGGTGCAGAGGAAGGAGAAGCAGGCTCCACACTGAGCAGGGAGCTTGACACTGGGCTTGATCCCAGGAACCTGGGATCATAACCTGAGCAGATGGTTAACTGACCGAGCCACCCAGACACCCCTTGAATGACCCACTTCTGCCCACACTCTAGGGTGCCCCTGGGGACGACTCCATTTGCTGCTCTTCCCTGGACCCTTCCCTGCTCTTCTGAGCCCTGAGAGCCTTTGGCTGGTGACACAAGCACTTGGGGACCATGTTCCTTGTGCAAATCCCATGTCTGCCAGTTTGTAGAAATGCTGGTAGAAAGCATGGACTGGAGACATGGAAAGGCACCCCTCCCATCAGGCTGGACCTGGCTCCCGTGGACTCTGCAAACGGCCTGGGTGGCCATGAGTCTCCATCCTGCTGCCGTGCCCGTGCCAAGCTCTTGCTCTTGAGAAATTATTTTCTTTCCTAGCCTCTTGCCTTTTCCTTGCTCCAGGGATGGAAACTCCACCAGCTGGAGGGAGGGCCCACTCCAGAACCCCCAACAGAGAGGGGCTGGGCCTTTGGAGCTGGGAGGACCTTTGGCACGTGGCCCAGCCCACGCTCTCCCCTTCAGCCAGCTCCCCTGTTTGCCACCTTCAGGACCCAAACACTCTGCCTGTGAGCTGGTCCTCCACCCCCAAGGAGGGGCTCGGCCATGCAGCTCTCCTGAGCTGTGGCCTTTGGCTGCAGATGGATAGGAGCCACAGTTCCCCTCAGCCACACCAAGCACGTTCCACAGAGGGGAAAGAGAAGGCCCCTACTGTTCCAGCCTGGTGGCCTTCACCTTGCATTCTTGGACTCTTTGGCTGTCCCCCGTTTGGTACAGGGATCGATGGATAGAGGGCAGAGACCTGCTACTCAGTGTGGCCTCCAGGCCAGCAGCATCACATCACCGGATGCTTGTTAGAAATTAATCTCAAGGGGCAGCCCTGGTGGCGCAGCGGTTTGGCGCCGCCTGCAGCCTGGGGTGTGATCCTGGAGACCTAGGATCGAGTCCCGCATCGGGCTCCCTGCATGGAGCCTGCTTCTCTTCCTCTGCATGTGTCTCTGCCTCTCTCTCTGTGTCTATGAATAAATAAATAAAATCTTTTAAAAAAAAGAAAGCAATTAATCTCAGGCCCCTAGACCCCCTGGATCAGAATCTGCATGTGTAAGATCCCCGGGGGACTTATGCACATGGAAGCATTGGAGAAGCCCTGGCCGGGCATGTTATGCCTGCGTTGCACAGGAGCCAGCCCCATCAGAATGCGGCCTGGTCTTTGTGGGGTGCCTTCAGCAACAGGGATGGGCCCCCTGGCCCTCTTGCCCCCAGAAGGCTCCCCCTTAGCACTGCCTGCTCTAACCGAGAGAACATTTTGTTTCCCTAGGCTGTTTCAGGTTAAATTGCATGGCCTCAAATTTCATTTTTTTTAAAAGTCAGCCAGAGATGAAACCAGAGCAGCAGGAGGGCCATCTTCACTAACGCGTCTTGGAAAGCCACCACTTCCCACATGTGCTCCGAAGACTCCAAATAGGCACCGGAGCCACCATAAGGAGCATGATCCCAGTTCTTTAAATACCCAATGTCCCACTGGCTCTATGCCACGAGGTTTTGACAGTTTACACCTGGTGACATTTAGCGAACACTTTCTGAGAGGGCTGAGGGGGAGGAAATATTTGGTTTAACCTGACATTATATCCTCGGGCTGATTGTTCTCTCTTTTGCCAATATACCATTTGCCTGTAAAACACTTGAGCCTAAAAATAGCCGCTGGGGCTTGGTGTCATTGTGGATGAAGGGCAACTGCCCCATTTCTTTGGCTTTCAGACACCCTTAAAGTATCACAAGGAAACGTCCCCGAGGAATCAGCGCAGCTCTTTCAACCTGAATTCGTGAGCAGGGCGGACCAGAGGGAACTTTGCAGCGAATAGATGGGGCCTTGGGGAGTGACCGCTGCCCTTAGCGGCCAGGCCAGGCCACTCTTTTTTTTTTTTTTTTTTTTTTTTTTAGTTTAGAGAGAGAGAGTGGGAGAGAGGGGGTAGGAGCAGAGGAAGAGAATCCTCTAGCAGACTCTGCTGAGCACGGAGCCCAAAGCGGGGTTCAATCTCACCCTGAGATCGTGACCTGAGCCAAAACCAAGTCTGATGCTTAAAACTGACAGCCACCTAGGCTACTCGTAAAAGTGAAAGGGGGCACCGTTCAGTCGTGCCAGGTCGGCAGGCAAAACCCAGCCTCCAGCTAATTCCCTCTGAGCAGTAGGCTCTGTGCCCCCTCACCCCCTACCCCGAGTATGGGGACATGGCTTCTTAGGTTACTCAGAGGAAAGCAACAGAAGGGGTGAGTGGGACCCAAGGAGCCACTTCCTGGTCATCTGCCATCCCGGGCTCCCTGCCCACAAAGTGATCACTATTGCTTCTGGTACAATAAAGTGGCCTTCCTAAGGTCACACAGCCAGCCCAGTGCTTATCCCCACTTGCCTTTGGGGCAGGGGCTGTGAGCTGCTAGCATTCCCTGGGTGTGGACCAAACGCAGCCCTCCCCTCACTCAGCAGGGACCCTCTTCCTTCCTCACACCCACAGGCTGCGTTTTAGGCCTTCCTTCCCATGTTTCATTTATCATCTGCATTTCTAGCAGAAGTTCCTTACCATAGAGGCACTGGGCTTGGGATTCCACCTGCTGTGAAGGGTGGTGTGGGGGTGCCTGTGCTGCTGGCATCCCTACAGGGACTTCTTCCCGTGGGTCCCAAGGCCAGTGCCTGGCAGCCCGGTGGGGCCTTCTGAGTCCTCCTGGGGCAGGGCCCCGGCCTTGGCCCCCGGTCTAACCTGTCTGTCTCTGTGTGTGTGGTCCACAGCCCGAGACCGAGGACGAGAAGAAGCGCTTTGAGGAAGGCAAAGGGCGGTACCTGCAGATGAAGGCAAAACGGCAGGGCCGGGCCGAGCCCCAGCCCTAGGGGCCATCCTCACGCCGGGGCCCCGGAGTGGCCCCAATGTCTCGTCATTTAGAATTCACCCCCTTGGCCAAAAACCCAATCCACATTGAGAGCTGGTGTTGTGTGAAGTGTTCGTCTTGCAGTGTTAACCTGTGCTCTCCTGAAAACCTACACACCAAAGCTTTATTTCTATCACTCCTGTGTAAGTGCTACAGTGTTGTCCCTGCCTCCAGAGGCTTCCTAGGGAATACTTGCGTGCACACTGTTTGGTGTGTCAAGAATCCAGCATCACTAATAAAGCTGCTGTTTGGCTGGATGTTGGTCCTGGGTGGTCATTTGTCTTGGGGCTGCTTTCCTGTTGGGCACAGGATGCAGGGGCCGGAGGCTTCACGGACCTACCCCTCCCTTACCCCCCAGGGTGCCAATACCTGCATACCCCAGAACTCAGGTTTGCCCCATGACTTGCTGGCTGGAGAGAACACCCCTTCCCTCCAAGGGCTCTGGTTCCACATCCTGGCCTGGAGACACCAGCACCCTGCTTACCATCCCTCCAGCCTACGCAGGATGCTAGCTCTGAGCTTCCAGTGGCCTTTCCGTGGTTGGGGGTGGAAGGTGCTTTCGAGGACTCAGGGAGGTGCCTCTCAAGAGAGAGCTGAGCCTACCTGACTGGAGCATGCCCAGCATATGGGAGCCCTACCCTGGCCCTCCTTCCAGCCTTTCATGGAAGCAGCTCTGACACCTTGGCGCTCTGGAGAAAGAGGCAGGAGGTCTAGCTCCTTTGCTAGAAGGAGCCTCCCAGCTGGTGCCAGGGCCCCTGTGCCCGTCGTACAAACCCCCACATACTCAGGACAAGGGATCATTGGAAAGGCTTGTGGGGTGTGAGTCTGAGGGGCAGTGCGTGTGAATGGTGCCTATGTACAGCTGTGTGTGTACACACATCTGTGACCCTGTCTGCACACGTGTGCATGTGTGAGATGAGGCTGTGCATCCACCTAGGCCAGCAGCCTTGGGGAGCAGACAAGCCACCAAGGCCACTACAGGAGGGCAGGGGGGTCAGTCCTTCACCCCCACCATGGCTGAGAAAGACTCCTTCACCAGGCACACCTGGTGGTGAGAGAATGTTCCCGACTCAGGCTTCTCCTGGAAGCCTGGAGATGGAAACTGGCCACAACAGCTGCAGCCTCACATGGGGCTCCCTCGGGCCCAGAGAGAGAGAATGCAGCTCCAGATGTGCAGAAACACCCGCCAAGAGCTTCGGAATCCGTCTCAGGCCTCAAGCCCAGCTGACGGGGTTATTTCCTGCCTAGAAGCAGGGAGAGGGAATAGGCCACATGAGGCCATGGCAGCAATCCCCTCAGCCGCCCCAGCTCCACCTATGCCCATGCTGACCTGAAGGCCATGGGTGGTGTCCTGGGCTGGGGGCCACTGGGAGGCCTGCCCTTCAGGTCCAGCAGAAAGCCCAGCTCCTCCCAGCTGCCCTGGGAAGCGATTTTAGGTACCACCTGGCTTGCCCAAAGCCACACAGATGAGTAGCCAAGCCAACCCTGAGAAGGATGTAGATGCCCTGGTGTCCACTTTCCCTTGGGGAACCCAAGGGCTCAGGCACTGTTCTGGTTTGACAGGCCATGGTTTGGCTGGCTGGGGCTGGGAGCCTCAGCCTCCAGGGAGGCCCATCTCCCACCTCCCCCAGAGCCAGCCGAGCCCAGGACAGGGACGCTGGTAAAGACAGCAGTGGGTGAGCTGTGCTGGAGGAAGGGTGCTGGGGGCCTAACACCCAGGGCAGGCTGCCCTCTGCTGGCAGGGCAGTAGATGGCCAAAGCCTAGGGCTGACTAGATCACTGTGTTTGCCTTAGAAATGTCACACTTAAAAAAGAAAAGAAAAATCATACTTGGGATCCCTGGGTGGCTCAGCAGTTTAGCACCTGCCTTCAGCCCGGGGCATGATCCTTGAGACCCGGGATCGAGTCCTACATCAGGTTCCCCACAGGGAGCTGGCTCCTCCTTCCGTCTGTCTCTGCCTCTCTCTCTCTCTCTCTCATTAATAAAATCCTTTTTTTTTCATTAATAAAATCTTAAAAAAAAAAAAAAGAGGGCAGCCCAGGTGGCTCAGCGGTTTAGTGCCGCCTTCAACCCAGGGCGTGACCCTGGAGACCTGGGATCAAGTCCCACGTCGGGCTCCCTGCATGGAGCCTGCTTCTCCCTCTGCCTGTGTCTCTTTCTCTCTCTCTCTCATGAATAAATAAAATCTTTAAAAAAGAAATGTCACGCTTGATTGCCAGGCCCCCCACACACTGGTGGCCTATTTATAACCAGGGCCACCTGGTCAGGGAGCTGGCCCATCCACGGAGGGCTCACTAGGGGTCCTGACTGCCCAGAAGCCACACACACGGAGCATATGGCCCAAGGCCCCCCCACTAACCAGTCTGTTGAGCGTCTGGATACAAACACCTTCACTTTTTCCTCAGAGGACTGACCCTAAGGCCTACCCTGGGTATCCTAACAGCTGTTCCTAACTCCCTGGGATATAGAGACAGCGGGGAGGGGAGCGCAGGAGCCAGGCTGTGGAGTGGTATAGGCAGCATTGGCTGCATTGGGTTGGGTCTGGTCCTGTCTGGACAGGTGCCCCCTTCCTCCAGCCACGGCTATGCACTTACAGATACTCCCCAGGTGTTTGGGAAGAGTGGTGCCCGGCCAAGCAGCCCAGAAGTGACTCCAGGCACTCTGCCCAGGGTGGATGTGGTCATGGGCATCCTAGAAGAGACTGGCAGCGTCCACTGCCTGGATGGGAGACCAAGGTGCCAGCAGTCTCTCTCTTGTGACTCCAGAGGCCTCTGTCAAGGGCACTGATAGGATTCCCCTAGATATCCATGGGTGGCAGCCTATGCCCCTGCTAGAAGTGCTAAAGTGGGGTATGGCTCCTGAGGTGGGGCACCAGGAGTTCTAGGTTGAAGGCCTGGCCTCTCCCAGCTGCACTGTCTGGGTTCCAGGTTGAGAGAACACTTGCGAGGCCATGCGGGTAGGGGCAACCACCCGGCCCTCTGCAGTGGGTTCACCATTCCGGGGTGGAATCCTCCTCTTCCCTTCGACTCTCCCCACCACCACCACCCCCATGATAAATGTGAATCCTTAACTGGCCCAACCTGACCTCTCCCTGCCCCAACCTCTGATCCTGAGAGACTCCCCAGTCACTAATCCTCAGGCACCCCACCTCTCCTCCATTCCCCACATTGTTCACCTTAGATGGCTCCCTCCGGGAAGGCCTCCCTGAGCCCCCAACCCCAGTCCATTCTGTCCCAGGCCCCCCTGCCCCGCCAGCCCGCGGAGCTCCGGGCCTTCCCGTTTCCAGGGGGTTGGGCCGACGCAGAACGGCAGCAGGGCCGCGGCCGAGCTCGGGGTCCCAGGAGTCGCCGCCCTCCCCAGGAGGCTTCAGTCCCGCGGCGGCGTGGCGGGGGACCAGGGACCGACAGACGCACGGACGGACTGACGCGGCGGCGGGCCGCGCCTCGGAGGGCGGGGGCGGGGCGGTCCGAGGGGCGGCGCGGAGGCATGCGCCCTGCTCCGCCCCCCGCCCCCGGCCGCCGAGCGCACCAGCCGAGCGGCGGGAGCCGAGCGCGGCGGCGGCGCGAGGGGCGCGAGGGGCGCGAGGGGCGCGAGGGGCGCGAGGGGCGGCGGGCGGAGCTGAGCCGAGCGGAATGCCCCGGCCCGCGGGCCGCTCCGCCGCCAGCCCCCCCCGCGGCCCCCGGCGGCCCGCGCTCGGCCTGGGAGCGCGGGAGCCAAGCCGGAGCGGGAGGCGGGAGCGGCGAGCAGGAGCCCCGGGCGCCCGAACGCAGGGTGAGCGCCGCCGGGCCCGGGGTGCGCTGGGTTGGAAGGACCCGCGGCGGGAGCGCTGCGGGCGGGGCGGGGCGGGGCCGCCGGAGTCCGTCCGAGGGGCCGCCTTCCCCCGCCCTCGACCGGGGGACCTCCGGGGTAACTTCCCCGGGGCCGGCCTCCCTCTCCTCGGTCCCTCCCCCACTCTCGCCTCCGGCCTGGCCACGCGGCTTGCAGGGAGCGGGGCGGCCAGTCCGGGGGCCCGAGGCCCGGGGCGCACCGCGCCCGGAGCAATCCGCTGGGGCGTCCGGCTCACGGTCCGCGTCGCGGACGCGCCCTCGGGGCCGGGGTGGGGCCGGGTAGGGCCGGGGTAGGGCCTGGGTCCGCGCGGGGCCGGGCAGGAGTGTGGAAACGCGGAGCCGCAGGGCCGGCGGGGGCGGGGGCGGGGACGGGGGCGGGGGGCGTGCGGGAGACGCGGAGGACCGCGCTGCGAGCCCCGCCCTGGGCGGCCGCGGTCCGGGCCTGGGGGCCGCTAGGCGGCAGCGCGGGCGGGGCGCGACCGGACGGGGGTGGGGCGCCCGGGGCCAGGTCCGCGCGAGCGGCGCCCGCCTGGAACCCGGGGAATCCTTTCAAGTTCTCGGTTCTCTTTGTTGCGCAATAGAGCCCCGGGGCAACGAGGCTTCATTGGCCGGGGGCCGTGACGTCACGCCGGGGCCCCGCCCGCAGACCCTGCGGAGGGAGTCCTGGGGCCTCTAGGTGCCACGCCCGTCACACCTGCAGGCGGCCCCGCGGTGTGCTGTGGGGGGAGGGGAGGAGGGTCCCAGCAGGGCGTTGGAGGGGGGGCGGGACGCAGGAAGCCCCAACCCGAAATGCAGGGCGGGGACACTTTGAGTATTGCGGGAGAAACTTGCCGCGGGGGGCGGGGGGTGGCGACACCTGGGTGTCCCCCCTCCCCCAGCACTGGCTGGAGGCCAGCTTGGGCCTGGCCCTCAGTGGCTGCTGCTCCCTGTGGAGAATGCACTGCTGGTGCGCGATCAGGGGGAAGGGGTCTCCCGGTGCCTGTGCACTGGGAGCCCCTCTCGCTGTGCATTTGGAGACCTTGCTATTGACTCCGCGGTGACATTCCTCCCCCTTCCGAGCACCTCCGCTCTCCGGAGTCCCAGACTCCAAACCTGGCCCTGGCCTTTCCACCCTGGGTCGCTGTGGATCAGTGTGGGGACAGCAGGACCCATCCTGCAGGGGTAGGGAGTTGAGAAAGGCAACCTCAGTTCAAGGAAGGACAGATGCCTGTTCCTGCTTGGGTGTGGGTTAGTTAGGGTCTGGGCTTGGGTTTGAAAAGCCAGGATTTTGATGTCAGCCAAGTGGGATTGAGTTCTGGTTCAGACACTTCATAACTTGGGCAAATGATTTTAGTAAGGCTGTCTTTGCTTGACTGTCTTTAAAATGGGGATAGTGTCAGTGTTGATCACATCACCTTTCTGGGGACACTAACTGAGAGGTTAGTTCACACTGCTTCCTCCCTCTCCAGGCAAGGCATGTTCTCCTGCCCACAGACCTAGAGCCTTTCCCTGCAGCAAGACATGGGTAGGCCAGACAAGGGGAAGACCCGGCACTGTGAGAGGTTGTGCCAGTTCCAGCCTGTGGCCCCTTCCCCACCACCCTCCACCAGGGATCAACAGGGCACAGGGTTACTGAGTCAGACAGAGCCAGTGGGGGTGCTGAGGGACCGCCTCCCAGTGGGACATCCAAGGAGACCCAGTGCAGGTGGAAAGAGATGCTGGCCTACCAGGTGCATGCTGAACCCGGCTTCCTGTTTGACAATGTAAAGATCTCTGAGGTCTGCAATCTCTGGCCCACAGCTGCACCCACACCCTGCCTGCTCTGGACCCCTGGGAGGCCCTGTGGCCTTCTCACCCTGAAGCTCCCTGTCCCAGGTTCTGGTTGGAGTGACTGTATCTACCCACATGTCTGAGGCTCTGAGGCTTACCCACACCCCCCCAGGCTCAGCCGCTTGGCCCTTAAGGGGCAGCAGAGTTCAGTGAGGTGAGAGGGCTGTAGTACAGATTTGTACCTGGCAAGCATTCATTGAGTGCTTACTGTGTGCTTGGCTCCATCCCATGGCATAGCTGTCTACTACTACCCATAGCACTTTCCCGGGCAGGTATCGCATCCAGCTTACAGATGAGTAAAACAAGGCCCAGCTGAGTCAGTAACTGGCTGGCAAGCTAGAGGTGGAGTCCAGCAGCTCTTTATTCAACCCCATGTGGCCTCTGTATGCTGAGGTCGGAGGGGTTTGCTGGATACTGAAATGGCTGGAGGGTCCGATGGGGCCACCCCACCACCCACACTGGATCTTGAGGAGGGGAGAGGAGGAGGCTCTGTAAGCAGAAGGCTAATGTTTGGGAAGGTATTTCCCTGTCCCCAGAAGCCTTCCAACTCCGTAGGAGGCCCTTAAGAAACAGTGGTACAGTCCAGAAAAGACTCCCCTAGGTCAGGCGTCTGGGCAGGCCCATGGCAGGGGCACAGAGATGAAGGAGACTCATCCCTGAGAGGTCCTTTGGTATTGGGGTTCAGGCCACAGACCAAAAGAACTCTGAACAAGACAAGAAGGGGTGTCACAGCAGGACCAAGTATTGCTTCCCCTGCCCTGAGAGCCCGGGGCCTGCAGTGGCCTGTCCATTCCAAGCTAGGTAACAGCCCCTGAGGGATCACATGGCTGTGCCTGGTACAGTAGGTGCTCATAAGTCCTGGGGGTAAGAGAATCACAAGCAGTAAAATTAAACAGGCTCCCAAGTAAAAATGGCCAAGTGCAGCAGAGCACACAGTAGGCCTGCACTTCTTCCCGTGCTGCCTTCCCTAGGCTATGGCCAGAGAGGGAGGGTCCAGCCAGTACTCTGCACAGGGGTGTGGCTTGGGGCTACTGGGCAGGGAAGGGGGAGGGAGGGACTTACAGCCTGGCTGTTGGCATGTCAGCAGGAGTGCTTCTCTGCCCTGTGCTTTCCGCCCAACATCCTGTGTCCCTGGCTCATGGCCATAGGCTATCGGCAGTTCCTCCTTGGGGTCAAGGTCTGGTCCCTTTGGCTTTCTACAGGCCCATGTTGTCCAAGGCATCCACAGCATAATAATGACCACCTCCCCAGAGCATCTCTGTGTGATACTTGGCCCAGGGTTTTAAAGATGTGTCTGTCCACCCCAGCCTCCTCTTGGAAGAATCATCATCGTCCCCATTACAGAGGATGTGGGTGTAGGGACCTTGCTCAAGCCACACAGCTTGTATGATGGAGCTTAATTTGAATGCCAGCCTGTGGCAGTGCCTGGGCCACCCACAGAAAGCCAGTAGGGGATGGGCCCAGACAGTAGCTGCTTGTTGCCAAGATGGCCATGGAAGTGGTCAGTCTTCAGATCACCCGTCTTGCACAGGGAGGTTTAGGGGGCTTACCCTCTAAGGCATGTCCTCATTTGGCCAAATGAAGTAGGACAAATTAAGATAAGGGCCCCTGATGTTCCCTGGGGACGCATCATGTGGGCTGTGTGAGATTTGGGATACTTAGGGTAAGTGTGTTGGTTCCTGGGCAGGGCTAGGGCACCGGAGCAAGATAGCCCAACAGTGCCAGCCTGGCTGCTTCCTGGAGGATGCAGCTGCCCCAGAAGCAAACCCAGATTCCATACCTTGGCCAGCAACGGGTGGGAGGGAGCATATTAGCACTTTTCAGGTACCCCTGTCTGTGTTCCCTGGGTGCCAGGGACATGGGCTAGAGGCCTTGGAGTAGACAGGAGGGCAAAGCAGCCCAGCCCAAGCCAGGACCACACCAGTAATGGTGCATCAGGGAACCCCTCCATCTCCCACTGCAAAGAGCCACAAGAGCTTTGACGCTGTAGCTAGAGGGACTGTCTGAACACTCACTGGCTTCTCCCCCACTGCAGATGCTCGTGGTCCCTGATGTCTCCGAGCCACCACGTGTGAGGGCTGTTGCTCTGAGCCAAGGCCGGCCCCCAATGAGGATGTCTCAGCTGCCGGCCAGCTCCTGTCTGCACCATGAGTGATGAGCGGCGGCTGCCTGGCAGTGCGGTAGGCTGGTTGGCATGTGGAGGCCTCTCTCTGCTGGCCAACGCCTGGGGCATCCTGAGCGTGGGTGCCAAGCAAAAGAAGTGGAAGCCACTGGAGTTTCTGCTGTGTACGCTTGCGGCCACCCACATGCTCAACGTCTCGGTGCCCATTGCCACCTATGCTGTGGTGCAGCTACGTCGGCAGCGTCCCGACTACGAGTGGAATGAAGGCCTCTGCAAGGTCTTTGTCTCCACCTTCTACACCCTTACCCTGGCCACCTGCTTCTCCGTCACCTCCCTCTCCTACCACCGCATGTGGATGGTCCGATGGCCTGTCAACTACCGGTGAGCTCTTGGGCACATGTGCTGTTCTTAGAGAGGGGGACATGTGGGCAGTGAACACAAAGGCCACCTGGCATACCTGTGCGCACAGACACCCCCGGGGTGACGACAGTGCCCCACACCTGTGTTGTGTAGGGGGCAAGCAGGGAAGCCGAGGAAGGGCTGCTCTGGGCTGCACGCCTGTGTGTGCATGGGCGTCCACAGCATCCAGGACAGAAATGCTCGGTGAGAGGGATGTGTGCCACCATGCATGAGGATCCCCTGTGCAAGGGACCAGGCCCCCCTCTGTTGGCTGTGCCATAGTGATGATGTACCAGGGGGCCAGGGCAGTGGGGATCCTTTGCAGGACCCCAGGGCTCTAGGAAGACCTTATGAGTGACACCTCCGTCCTGCCCCCACCTCATGCCAGGCTGAGCAACGCCAAGAAGCAGGCAGTGCATACGGTCATGGGCATCTGGATGGTGTCCTTCATCCTGTCTGCCCTGCCTGCCGTCGGCTGGCACGACACGAGTGAGCGCTTCTACACTCACGGCTGCCGCTTCATCGTGGCTGAGATCGGCCTGGGCTTCGGCGTCTGCTTCCTGCTGCTGGTGGGTGGCAGTGTGGCCATGGGTGTGGTCTGCACAGCCATCGCCCTCTTCCAGACACTGGCTGTGCAGGTAGGGCCGCGGGCCGGCCACCGAGCCTTCACCGTGCCCACCATCGTGGTGGAGGATGCGCAGGGCAAGCGTCGCTCCTCTATCGACGGCTCTGAGCCTGCCAAAACCTCGCTGCAGATCACGGGCCTGGTGGCCACCATCGTCATCATCTATGACTGCCTCATGGGCTTCCCCGTGCTGGTGGGTGAGACTGTCTCAGTGGGTGAGATGGGAGTCTGTCAGGGATGTGGACTCTGGGACAGCCCTGGGGCTGGGCATGCTCCAGGCATCCAGTCCTGGGCGGGGGGTGGGCAGGCAGTATTATTATCATCCCCATTTTACTGATTTGGGAACTGAGGTTCAGAGTGGCCCTGACCATGACCCACCTAGAGTTAAGGCAGCTGGATGAGGACTGTCAGGTGACTGTGGGGTCCAGGATCTTTTCTGGCACACTGTAGGAGACATTCCTCACCAGAGTGAGGCCCATTCAAAGCAGAGGGTATGGAAGGTGAAGTAACATGTCCACCTGGCCCAAGAATAAACTCTGCATTCAGTAGTCATGCCCTTGTACCCATGGGGCTCCAGCCCAACCCCCTGGAAGGTCTGGAGTTGGATCGGGAGGGGTTTGGGGCAAGGACCAGCCAGTGATTTTGTCTAAGCAGCAGCTGGGCAGGGCTGTGTCTCTGGAGTCATTGTAAGACACAAGCTGCAGAAAGTGGCAGGTGGGGTGGCAGCCTCATAATCAGGGGACATACTCAGAATACAGGCCCAGGCAGCCTGTGCCCCCACCCTTTGTGGGCCTGGCACACAAAGTACCCTCCACCAGGTACTGGGCTCTGTGTGCAGTGGGGCCCGTGTCTCCAGCCTAAGCTGATGGAGAGAAGGAGTGCATATAAAATCATGGAGCCAGGGGCGGCCCCAGTGGCTTAGCGGTTTGGTGCCGCCTTCAGCCCAGGGTGTGATCCTGGAGGCCGGGGATCGAGTCCCACATTGGGCTCCCTGCATGGAGCCTGCTTCTCCCTCTGCCTGTGTGTGTGTGAAGAATAAATAAAATCTTTAAAAAAAAAAAAAATCATGGAGCCAGAAGGGGACAGCTGTGGAGGAAGAGTCTCCCCAGTTTCTCTTCAGGGCATGGAAGGGGGTGCAGTTTATGGAACCCACTCCATGCTGCAGGCCCCATACGATGTCTGGGATCTTTACCTCACTCCTTGGGGTATCCTTGGCCCATTTCACAGACCAAGAAACTGAGCCCCAGAGAGGTACAGCACCTTTCTGAGGGTCACATGGGCTCACATAGCAGAACCAGTGTGATGAGTGTATCATACTTATTTCTGCTTTGATGGAATAATTTAGTGTCACTCTGGGTGGGGAACTGAACTCTCCTGGGACAGGAGGAGTGAAGGTCCCTGGACAGTGACCCAAAGGCTTCCTGGTTGATTCTCAGAAACTACTTTGATTCTCCTCTGAGGTCCAAGGCCTAGACACCCCCCTCCCCACCCCACCCTGGTGTAAGGACAAGCCCAGAGAGGAGTGAGGATGGCAAGAAAGTCCCTGAACTGGGAAGCTTGAGACCTGGTTCTCTCTCTCTCTCTCTCTCTTTTTAAGATTTTATTTATTTATTCATGAGAAACACAGAGAGAGAGGCAGAGACACAGGCAGAGGGAGAAGCAGGCTCCATGCAGGGAGCCTGACGTGGGACTTGATCCTGGGTCTCCAGGATCACACCCTGGGCCAAAGGCGGCACTAAACCACTGAGCCACCCGGGCTGCCCAAGAGACCTGGTTCTCCAAGCCCGTTTCCTCTTCCCAAAAAGGGGTGGATAGACCCTGCCCCCGCCCTTGCTGCCCGGTACCATGTGAAGGGCTGTCCGTGCACACATGGGGCTGTGGCTGCTCATGCTGGCAGCCAGCAGCTCTTGCTGGACAGGGACTTCTGCTCACACTCTGGCTCTTTCCTGCACAAGAGCCTCTAGCCGGGTCTGTGGGCCCCTCCTCCGGCAGGCAGGAGAAGTGAGGCTGGGAGGCGAAGCTGTGTAACGGGGCTGCTGCCAGGTGCCAGGCCGAGCTATGTGCCCACAGGTGGTGAGCTTCAGCAGCCTTCGGGCGGATGCCTCGGCGCCCTGGATGGCGCTGTGTGTGCTGTGGTGCTCGGTAGCCCAGGCCCTCCTGCTGCCCATATTCCTCTGGGCCTGCGACCGCTACCGCGCGGACCTCAAAACCGTCTGGGAGAAGTGCGTGGCCCTCATGGCTAACGATGAGGACTCAGACAATGGTGAGGATGGCCTGCGGGAGGCCCCTAGGGAGAGTGGTGCCTGGGGGAGGTTAGCAGGATAACAGCTGTCAGGTGACTCACCCCCATGACACTGAGGTGACCACATTCTCAAATGTGCTTGAACCCCTATGGGACCTAGGTGGGGTATGCTCCTCTCCAGCCTTGTTGTCCCAGGCAGAATCTGTGAACACCAGACTGAATGTGTTCCACAGGCCTTCCACCCTTAGGGTTCCCTGGGGGGCTCCTGCAGACAGACCCAGGTGCTGGCTCGCCCCCGGCAGTAACAGCGTTACCCTAGGTTGAGCCTTTGCTCTGTACCAGGTAACATCATGTGCCATCCCACGGAGGAGGAACCTGGGCCAGGTGATCTCCCCTGTCCCACAGCTAAAAGGTGGCAGTGTCTGGATTTGAACCCAGCCCCCTGCTCTGTGTATGTCTCTAGGGATGCCTAGAACTCACTCCCTGATGCCCCCAGGTTTCCATGGCCCTAAGCTTTTGCCTAATCCTGCAGATACCAGCCTGGAGAGTGGCATCCCCCCGGACCTGGTGCTGGAGCACTCCCTTGACTACAGCTATGGAGGGGACTTTGTGGTCCTGGACAGGATGGCAAAGTATGAGCTTTCTGCCCTGGAGGGGGACCTGCCCCAGTTCTACCCGCTGCGGCCCCTGCAGGAGGACAAGAAGCAGTACCTGCAGGTAGGGTGGGGCTCCAGACGCTGAAAATGCAGGGGGCGAAAGGGTGTGGACCGGCCTCCCCCCGAGGCTCGGCCTCTGAGCCCCGCGTCGGTCCCGTTTTCCAGGAGGGCAGCCCGGGTTAACCCCGCCCGTCCTGACAGGTCCCGCCCACGCGACGCCTGTCCCACGACGACGCGGAGGTGTGGGCCGCCGTGCCGCCGCCCGCCTTCCTGGCGCGCTGGGGCTCAGGCGAGGACCTGGCCGCGCTGGTGCCGCCGGCCGCGCCGGACCGCCGCCGCGCCAGCCTGGCAGCCTTCGCGGAGGACGCGCCCCCGTTCCGCCCGCGCCGCCGCTCGGCCGAGAGCCTGCTGGCGCTGCGCCCCCCGGGCCCCGGCGGCAGCCCGCGCCGCGCCCGCGCCTCGCCCCCCGGCGGCCCGCGCCTCCGCCCCGGGCCCGGCGCCCGCTCCGCCTCCGCCTCGCTGCTGCCCGACGCCCTCGCGCTGACCGCCTTCGAGGGCGAGCCGCGGGCCCTGCGCCGCCCGCCCGCCCCGCCGGGGCCCTTCGCCGACAGCCGGCGGCCGCCCGAGGACGCGGTGGCCCCCGGCAGAGGCGCGCGGCGGGGCCCGGGGCTGCGCCCGGCTGTGCGCGCGCACGCGGGGCCCCCGAGGACCGGCCTGAGCGCGCCGTGGGGCGAGCCCGGCGGCAGCACCAGCAGCTTCCTGAGCTCGCCCTCCGAGTCCTCCGGCTACGTCACGCTGCACTCGGACTCGCTAGGCTCCGCGTCCTAGGGCCCGCGTGCGGGGCTCCGCGTCCTCGGGCCTGCCCGCGCTTCCCCACGTGCGCCCGGCGGGCCGGGCCGCCCACAGGGACCAAAGCACCAAAGATGCTAACGCTGACCCAGGCCAGGTTCCGGGCAGCGCCACGCGGGGCCCGCCAATGGCGCCTGGCGCTGTGCCAGCCCTCCCTGCGTGACTGAGCCATGGGCCACGGCCTGGAAGGGTGGCAGCTGCCAGGCACCGCATCGCGGGGCAGAGTGAGGCTCGGCTTGGGTAAAGGCGAGCTCTGCACGCCCCTATGTGCCTCGCCCAGCCCTAGGCAGCGGGATTGGGGGGGATGGGGGTGGCCGCAGGGAGTCTGGGGAAAGGGCCACCACCAGACAGCACGAAACCCAGAATTGCAGCCTGCTTTCCACTTTGCAGGGGGGGGGGCAGGGTACAGAGGGTCTCTAAGCACAGGGGTCTTTGGAGCCCAAACACACTGAGCAGGTGTTCCTGCTCACCAGTTCTGCCTCTGTTTCCCTATCTGTCATGAGCAGGTGACCATATTAACTCTCAGGACTGTTTGGAGAAGTCTCCTGGTCCGTGTGCCCCCCGCCCCTGAATGGACAGAGTGTGAGAGTATCTAGGGCCCTCTGTGGGTCCTTTGTGGGGGTCATTCTTCAGTGTGTGGCCTGCTATGGCCTCAGCACCTGGGGCCTCCCACTCTCAGTGCCCTTGGCCCGCCCAGGAACTTACCCCACCCACACCCCAGCTAAAGCACAACACTTTGCACCATCACCCACCTCTACCACTGTTAGCATCCCTACCCTCATCACTCTCAGCCACCTCTGTGACTCTCACCATGAAGATCGTGGCTCCATGATGTGAAAGAACTGAAGCAACAGAAGAATGGGCTTCCTTATCCTGATGCTCCAGGGAAGGGGTGAGGCCTCCCAGGTTCTAGGCTTAAGGCCTGGTCCCTGCTCAGAGTCCTCCCTCACCCTGGGGGATAGGGCTCTTTGCTCTCTTCTGGGCACATCTCCCCTGGGGCCTAGGGCTTGGCTTTGCCTGGATCTTCCATGGAGAGACCCTAGAATCAGGCTAAGCAGAGGTCCAGGAACAGCTGTGACCTTGAGCTGAAATGACAGGCCAATGCAGAGGTTGTCTCTCTCCTGGCCCCTGCCTCCACACAATGGCCCCTGCCCAGAAAAACCTGGAGCGGATTCCAGGGCCAGCACGCAGCCTGCCTGCAGTATGTTCCCTCCTGCTCTGTAACCTGGAATTGCAGCATTGCCCTCCCACCCTCTGGTGGCCAAGCCTATCTCCTCACCCAGCCCCAGGAGAGGCTCCTGGGAGGGGTGAGAATAGGAGACTGCCTGTCCAGCTCTGTTTCAGAGGCCCTGCTAGTCCCTGGCTGCCAGGCAACGTGGGAGGGATGAGCTGGCCACAGGTGAGCAAGGCAGGAAACTGCAGTACAGCCCCTGCCGTGGGAGGGGACACCTCTGGCCAGTGCTGCTGTGCCTTCAAGGACCAACATGTCATGTGGGGGCAGAGATCATCAGCTAGCCACTGTGTAGGTTCTCTCCATCTCAACCACCCCCACCCCCTACTGCCCCTCGCTCAGGCTGGCCCATTTGTCACATTGGGTTTTTACTCTGTGTATTTCATATCCTATGGCAATACTTGCAGGGAGACATGGTACCCCAATGTCCCTCCAGTTCTGGTTTTTACAAAAAATAGAGGGAGGACCCCAAATGGAGGACCCTGGGGCTCCCTCTCACACTTTGTGAGCCTCCAGGCTTATTTGCTGCGTTCATAAGCAGCAGGACCCTGGGCTCACAGGGGAGGGAGCTCTGTCTTCATACCACCACCCACCTAGAGCCAGGGATACATTTGTAGTTTTTTTGACAACTGAGCATTTCTTTTCTGTACAGAATACAATAAAAACTTCCTATGATTTGCACCTGGCATCCCAAGGCTGGTTTCATGAAAACACAAAACACCTTTCTAGAATAGAGCTAGCCATCTGCCCCCAAACGTCTCCCTCTCTGGGGCCCAAATTCCCCCAGTGTCCCCCCTTTGGGGTGGTGCCCTTTCTCTAAGCAAGGGCTGCAGCCCCACCCAGGGAGTGAGGCTGGCCTGGAGCAGCAAGGGGATGGAGAGGTAGGGTGTGCCCCAGCCCTAATAGCAGAAGCCCTGGGAGTGCAGCTGGTAGCCTCGGCCCCAGATATGGCTATGGCTTCAGGGGCGTCTAGCCCCTGCCGGGGTTGGTTGGTTCAGGAGGTCAAGAGTAGGGCCGCGGCGGGGGGGGGGGGGGGGGGGGGGGGGGGGGTGCAGCTCGCCGCCTCCCGGGTAGGAATTTCAAGGCCGCGCGCTGGGTCCGCGGTGTAATGTCGCCACCTAGTGGCTAGGAGAGGGATGAGGGCGGCTGTCCCGGGCCCCGGTCCGCCCGCCCGGCGCAGTAGGGGGCCGAGACCCAAGAGGCCGCCCCCCAGACCGCCACAGCCGGGACCCCTTCCCGCCCGTGCTCCATCCAGAGAGCCCAATGGATGGAGTGGGGGAGCAGGGCCGCCCTCTCTTCGCAGTGTAACCAGAACCGGTTTAGCACACAGGCAAAGCAGGGGCCCTCCTAAAAGAGAAATGTTTTATAGAAGTCGGTATTTGTAGCTCAAAAGATGCACCCAAGTCGGCATCGTGGGAGAAATTTGGACCTTCATGGTCTCTTTACACCCATTTCACAGGTTTGCCCTGTCTGCGTTCTGGATTTCAAGCTGGAAGTGCCCGGATGTCTTCCGGGGCTCGGCGCGGGATTCCCGTTCCCCCTCCCCAGGCTGGTCCTTGAGAACCGGGACCCCGGGCTAGAGTCCGAGCACAGTCGTGACCTCATTTTCGGACGCGCAAACAGGGGCAGGCTGGCGAGGGCCGCGGGCTCGGCGGCTGCCCCAGAGGTCGGGAGGCGGGGACCCTCGGGCGGCGCGCCGGGAGGCGCGGGGGAGGCGCGCGGTGGGCGGAGCATCCTGCGGGGCCCGCGGCGCGGCGCGGAGCGCTCGGGGCGGGGCGGGGCGGGGCGGGGCGGGGCGGGGCTCGGACAGCGCGGCCGCCGGGTGGGCCGCGCCGCGTGCGGAGGGGGTGGGGATCCGCGGCAGCCCAGGGGGTCCGAGGTGGGGGCGGGCCGGGGGCCCCTCGCCGGCGGGGCGGGACCCGGCTCGCTTTGTGCCGGTGGGAACCGGGCGTCCTCCGCCGGCTGAATGGGCCGGGGCGGGGCAGCGATTCTCCTCGCTGCGAGGGGTCCGCTCTGCGCCGCTGCCGACGGCGACCTTCCCACCGCGGCGAGGCTGCGGGCGGGGGCGGGGCGGGGCGGGGCGGGGGCGGGGGCGGGGCGGGGCGGGCTGCCCGCCGGGAGCCCTGGGAACGAGGCGCGGCCCGGGACGTCCCCTCCCAGCCCCGCGAGAAGGTGGGAAGGAGAGACAGGGGGTCCGGCTTGAGTCGGGGGGGCTGCGGGGGGCGGACCCCGGCCCCCCTGTGGCTCCGTGTGTGTCCTCGCGTTCGCGGGCTCGCGGCCCCCTCCCAGCCGCCCCTGCCTGGGGCCGGGGCCGGGGCCGGGGCCGGGGCCGGGGCCGGGGCCGACGACTGGGGTCCCGCCGCCGCCGCGGGCGCGCCCTCACCGGCCTCTGCGTCCCGAGGCCGGACGAGGGCCCCCTTGAGTCCGAGGCCGCCCGGGCCCTCACCACGGCCGCCAAACGCCCAGACCCGGCCCCGGGCTCTCGGTGCACTGGCGAGGCGCCGGCTGCGGCCCCGGGACGCCGGAGGACGGGCCGGGGAGATCCCCAGGGAAGCGGAGCCGCGGACCGGGGCCGCCGGGGACCGGAGCGGGGCCCCACAGGGCTGGGGCACAGGGCCCGAGCGGCGCGGCGGCCTCGGGGCTCCGGCCGGCGCTGTCCATGGTGCTGCCGCCTGCGCGCTCGAGCGCCAGGGGGCAGCGCAGGCCGCCGCCGCCCTCCTCTCCGCGCCGCCGAAGCTGGCTGACGCCGGGCAGGCCGCTGCGGAAGCCCGACGGGAACTCGACTCCGCTGGGGACCGGCCAGAGCCCTGGGGGGAGGGGGGCGGACGGGAGAGACGTGAGGGCGAGGGAAGAGGAGGGGAGGAGGAGAGGTGGAGAAAGAAAAGGAGGGGAGGGGAAGGGGGGACGGGGAGGAAGAGTGGCAGGGAGGGAAGGGGAGGAACCAGGCAACCCGAATTTCTTTGCCAGGGTCCAGATCTTCGCCCACCCGGATCACAACTGCACGGGTCTGCAATGTCTTCGCAGCCTCCTGCCTCCGGCAGTCTGCGGTCCCCTCCTCCCCCAGCCGCCCACTGCCTCAGCTTTCTTCTCCACCCATTTTTCCTTTATCTGGCCTTGTCATGTCCCTGGCTCTGACCCAAGTCATCCCCACCCCGCAGCTCCTCACCCTGCCCTTCCGGATGCCCTCCCACCTTGCACCGAGCTCTGAAGACTTTTCATGTACTTGACGCTCAGCTCCAGTATGTCTGCCTTCTCCAGCTTGCGTTTCCGGATCTGCAGATCCGTGGAAAGGGCTCTTAGCGGGGCAGTCCAACTTGGAGGAGACGAGGTTGGGGGTCAGGGGTCGTATCACCCCCACCTCACCAGGTTCCCACATCTCACCTGGTGTGAGTAGTGTTTTTCCAGCAATGACTTCAGCTGCTCCAGGGATACGTTGATGCGTGCCCGTCGCTTCTTCTCCATGAGCGGCTTGGAGATCTGTGGAGGGGTGACATTTTAGGGGAGGGCCACAGTCCTCTCCACGTCAGTCCCATCCCACCCCCGGCTTGGCAGGGTCCCCAGACTGTGCCCTTCAGGGCCCCCAGACCTTGCGGAAGCTGCCGGCGTGGCCACCAGAGCTGCCCTGGGTCCCAGGCTTAGTACCCATGTTGTCGTTATCTGCGCCTGTGGGAGGCAGTGCCGCCTTTATAGGGGCTCCTCGTTTACATGTCAATGAGGCCCTTCTGGACTCAAGGAACCCCGAGGGGGAGGAGGTGAGGGGTGGGGAATGCACTGTGAAATTCCCCACCTCCCTCTGCCCGACCCCCTCTCAGTCCGGGTTCATTTTCACCCCCAGGAACCCTCCTCTCTTCCAAGGGACTCTAATTCTCCTTTCTCAGTCTTTCCTTTATCCCTCTCATTCCTTTATCCCTCATCATTCCCTTAGTCTGGGGTCCCTTCCCATACACATCCCTCCGTGCCCTGTCCAGTCCCCTTGTCTAGTGTCCATAGGTACTGAGCCTCCACTAGGCCCACTTACTAGGCCCCTTCATCTCCAACATTCTGGTGGGCACTCACCGAGGAATGTCCTTCGGCCCAGCAGGCTCTGAGCCCCACCAATGACTCTGACAAGGTGCCGGGCTTCTCTGGGCCTGATGAAGATGCGGAAGCAGGGAGGACCCGCCAGTGAGGCCTTTCTGCGGGTTTCACGCTCTGGCCACGCTGGCAACGCCACATTAGTCGCCCTAATGTTGGGACAATGCAGCGATTTTCTGCCTGTGGCTGCTCAAAGCCGGGCACAGGCTGGGCCCGAGGGGGCCAAGCAGCAACATGTGTCCCATTAAAGCGTGCAGCCCGCCCTCGGGGCCAGTCTCCCCCTGGCTGAGGTCTGCTTTCCCGTGCAGAGGTGTAGCCTGGGCTCATGTGCCCTCTGGGCCCTGTTAGGCCCCAGTTCACCTCTCCTAGCTGGGAGGAGGCTGCAGACAGCCTCAAACCAGGAGGAATAGAACAGCCTCCCCATCCAAAGATGTGGGTTTCCAGGCTGGACATGCGAGGCACTGACACTTTCCCTCACAGCCTGCAAGTTTATTTCCACCAGTCTTCTCTCAGTCCCAACAAATGTAAGGTGAGGGTGGGAAAGACCACTGATCATATGGGAAGAACACCATTCTGTGCTCTTGGAGGTCTGGGATCCCCAAACGCTTTTTATTATTCAGGGTGTGGTTGGACCCAGGGAGCTCGGTGGAGGAGGCACTCACACCAGGATGGGTTAGGCCTAACAGCAGGACTGGTGCAGTCTCCGGTGGGGCCCCAGGAGCAGGACTCCAGTAGCTGTGACTGGCAGGCTGAGGCCCAGAGGAGTGCCTGGGTTCATACCCTGTACTGGGCTCGCAGGGCCTCAATTCAGGGTTTGTAAAACGCAATGCAGGTCCCCACAGCTGCTCTGGAGGGTGATGAAGAAAGCAGGGACTCAAAAGTTGTGCAGTTGAGCCCTGTGGCAGAGGAATAAACAAATTGGCCTTTGCTGGGACTCAGCGTGAGGGGGAAGGGATATTGCTGGGTCTTGGGTGGGCCCCCTCCCCCCTGGCTCCCTGGACCCGGGGCTTCTTCTCCCCGGACACTCCCCCCCCCTCCAGGAGTAGTGAAGGGCCCTGCCGCGCAGAGGCGTTCTCAAGCGCCAAACAGCGTGGAGAATCGCGCCCCGCCCTCCTTTCAGGTCCAGGTTGCGTGGTCCGCGGCTCCAGGGTGCTCTTCCGTCTGGGCTGCAGGCCGCGGGCCGGACCCGGGCCGGGCCGGGCCCCGGTGGGGCGGCGGGGCCGAGGCCGGACGGCGGGCGTTGGCACGCGCCGGGCAGCTTTGAAGCGCGGGGGGCTGACCGGGCCCCATGGGCCTCTGTGCGTTCCTCTGGCTTGGGGGGTGGCGGCTCCGTACAAAGGCCCGCGGGGCCGGCGGGCGGCGCGGCTGGGCACAAAGGGGGCAGCCGAGTGTTAAGGGCATTGTGCCGGCCCCACAAAGCCCGCCCGCGCCCGCCCCCTCGGGGCCAAACTCCGGGCGCCCCGCCGCGCACGGGCTTCCAGCTGCTGCACATCTGCACGGAATCTGGGCGCGCGCCTCGCTCCGCGGGCCCCCTCACCCCCGGCCCCCGCTCCCGAGCAGCGCGGGCTGCGGGGCAATTTGTCCCCTAATTATGATCCCTCCCCATAAACCGCCGCCCGCCCGCGCCTTTCAACTCTGGCGTATTAGCTAACTAATGGTCCTCGTCTCTGCGCTCCTGGCCCGCCCTCTCTCCAGAGTTAGGGCTGCCGTAAAGGGGCCCGCGGCCCGCCCCTGTCCGCACCCGGGCATCCTGCCCTCCTCGGGCCATCACTCCTCTTGAGCCCTGGCCGAGGGCTCCCGGCCGCGCTGGGTGGGGCCGCTCACGTGGGTGGCTTAGTGTTTTCCTAAGCAGTGGAAAATTGACCGCAAAATGAGCTAATTCGCAATGTTCTGCTTTGGCTGCGGGCGGCGAGGCTGGCGGGGAGGCCAAGCTGGACTCGCAGCCGTCAAATCCCACCGCCGCCCATTTAATGGGCCTCCGCCTCCGCTGCCCCCTACCCCTACCCCAAGCACCTGCCCCTACATCCCCTCTCTCCCCATCTTGGGACAAGTCCCTGGGCTGAGGTGCCCCCCACACACAGACACACACAGACACACAGCTAGGCTGATTTCATCCCGGCTTTACAGGTTTCCCACCCCAGCCCGGCTCCCCACCCGGAATAGCCCTTAAGGGGGCTGAAGGTCGCACAGAACCCCGGGCGGATTCCAATCCCCCTGCCCGGAGAAATCCCCACTTTACCCACAACTCTGGCTCCCGGGCAGCCACTTCCCCACTGAGACCCAATTTCTCCTTCAATCTGCTTTTGAGTCCTGAGCCTGAGCGTCCTACCCATGCTCATATTCCAATGGGGTGTGTAGAGATAGGGAAGGCGAATTGGGAGGGGCGGCACCCCCTCCACCCCCTTCTCTGAGAGCAAGCAGGGCGAAGTGCTCTCAGGCTGCAGGGAAGGACATGGACCAACTTAGAAGCTGGGCTTATGCAAACTGGGATGTAGGCCACCGACTCCTTTTCCATCTTTAGCATCTGGGATCCCTAGGGGGGGCTTGGAAAGCAGCACAAGTTCGGGCAAAGCGCTGGGGAGACCCAGGCTGCGCTTTGCTCATTCAAGGAAAAATTTCCTTCTATAGTTCTGGAGGCCTCTGGGGGCTTCCAGGAATACTCAGAGCCCTCAGCTTCCTCAGGCTTGGGAATTTAAGGCAAAAAGTGGCCTGTGACTTTGTTCTTCCTTTCCGTTTGGTTTTCTCAACTTTGGCAAAAGAAAGAACATTACAGAGAAACTAAGCTCTGGCAGAAGGTAGAGAGGGGGGTTTACAGGTCCCGGGACAGGAGCCAGAGCAAATATTCTAGTCCTCCCGGGTAATGGCCCTGTGTAGCCTCTCCACCCTGGGTGAGAGAGCCCCTTCCCTTCCTGCAGCACCCAGACATTGAAAGCAATGTTAACTGGTGAGTGCTGCTGAGGCCACCGAGGGTGAGGTGAGTTGGGGGTGGGGTGGGGAGAAATGCACCGTTGGTCTCTGCAGCTGCATTTCAAAGTGGAATGAAGTGATTGCTTCGTGTAATTAACTATTGGGACACAGCGAAAGCTCTGAAATGACTCAGCCAATTGTCTCCAGATGGGGCTGGAGAGGCTGCGATTGTTTAACTCTCTTTAGCTGTGTTGGGACTCGAATAGTCCGGGCCGCAGAGGGCCCTCCAGGGGACAAAGGCTGGGACTCCGGTGAGTGCATCAACACTGAACCGGGCTGGCCCAGCTCAGGGAGAGTGAATTCAGGGAGACCCCCATTGTCCCAGCCCTTTGTGTTTCTCCCCAGCTGGCTCTAATCTTTAAATATTTACCCGGCCCTTTTGTGCACATATGACTTATGCACTTCAGGCTGATGTGCTCATAAATTACGCATCATTTACCCGTTTCCAGACTAGAGAGAGGGGGCTTTCATGCCTGGAGCCCAGAGTGGCCAGAGGAGGGAGAAGAAAAGTGTTGGAGGATCAGTGTTCCCTCCTGGGGAGAGTTGCAGCTACCCTGAACCGGCCCCTCCTGGCCTCCACGTGGCAAGTGGATGGGACCGAGGGCCTGTGAGTGACAAGGAGCCCCAGGAAGCTGCTCTAACAACTGACCAGGGACCCACCTGCAGGGAAGAGGGAGAGGCCAGTTCTCAGACTCTATCTTACACGGCGTGGCTTATCTCAAGCTTGGACAAGACAAACTTCTCACCCTGGGAAGCTGGTGTGTTGAGGTGCTTGGTCATGCCTCATCCTTGCACCTGCCTTCAGCTTGCTCGGGCTTATCCCCTCTTCTACATTCTCTCTCTCCACAAAGGAGCCCCATTTAAGAAAAAGAAGGCTGATTTCATCCCAGCCTGAAGTTTAACTTGGAAAAGTCAAGGAGGTTCTTAGAACCCTTTGAACCGGAGGAATCCCTACTTAGGCGTGGGATAGAAAGCTACCTCAGCTGGTGGGCGAAGACCAGGAGGAGGGGCGCCCAGGGGAGACCCAGCCGAGGGACTTTCCTGCATGAGAAAGGGCTCCCTTTGTGCTTGCCTCCAAGCTCCAAGAACAAAACACATTCAAATGCTTATTTACAAAAGAAGGCAAGAGAGGCATCCCAGGGCTGAGTAGTTCACCTTTATTTTCTTATAATTTTATGGGCTGCTTGTTCTCCTGCCTGGGGAGGACACTGGAGAACAGGATGCAGAATGGACTTTGATCAGATTGCTTTCCTCTCTGGTTGGAATGCAGGTCTCTGCATATGTTTCTGTCCGTATCTCTGGGTGAACTGTTTCTCTGTGCTTCTGTCCATCTCTGTGTTTAACTTTGTTTCTCTGGGTCTATGCCAGTGCATGCATATATTTGCTTACTTGGCTCTTTCCTCCATTACTGCTCTGTGAGT